CCTTGGACGCTCGAGCGTGATTCTCCCCGCTCGAGCGGACGACAATGTCTGCAAAATTGCTGGGAACCAGCATTTCACGCTTGAGCGGCGTTTTCCCCGATCGAGCGGACATGCCAAATTCTGGGTTTTCCAAAACTGTTCTTGAAGTTCAATTTTGATGTTCAAAGGCTCCAAACTCATGATTTTGGTTCAAAAACATGCAAACACATTATACTACATGAGAATATAAGAGTATGAGACCAAATTGTTCAAAATCATAACCCGATTCTCAAATGAATCCTCATTTCTTTTGTATGATCAAAACCCATGCATTCAAACTTCATACAAAATTCATATCTCTATCAATTCAACATGCATGTTAGTCTTTGACCCCAATTCCATTTCAATTAGCACCAATGATGCTCCTAACCATGAAACTCAACAAAACTATGCTTGCATGTATGCTTCAATGCTTAATTTTTCATAATCAACATATTTCATGCTAGCTTATGCAAATTTATGGCAATTTCCTACATGCATGTGCATTTTAGACTTCAATTTCATCATAATTAACTCAATTCAAGTCCTTGATCATCATCTAACATGAATTCACAAAATCACAACTTAAACTCGTGAATTTACTCACCTAGGAGCTTCAATCTTCACAAATTCTTGTTAATTCTTGAGTGTAGCTTCCCAATTCACAATCTTTGAGTCAAAATGCACAATTCTCTCTCTTTCTCTCTCTAGAATCGACACACTCTCTCTCTAGAGAGCAAATTCAGATTTTGAGCTCAAACATATGGTGAGTTTAAGTGTATAAGGGTCTATTTATAGGCTCATCTAATTAGACTTGATTAAGGATAATTAATTGTACCCAATTCAATCAGTTTAATCTAATTATTTTGATTCAAACTAATTTCTAATTAAATTTCACTACAGGCTCTAAAAATTATGCCATTCACAATGGCGTAGTCAATTTCGGGTTCTGTAGCCGATAAAGCCTTCAATTTTCAGTTCAAAGCACAAATTCTAACAGATTTTCTTACGGTGAATAGATACAAAGCCAAAATCACATATAATCATGCAATTAACACCCAAATTCACATTAAACACATAATTACAAACATAATCATGATTAATTAACATAGTACAAGACACAGTTATCACACTTGTCTAAGCTTTTGGGCTACCATCTCAGCATGTTTTTGGTCTTATTTTGCCATGTTACAACTCTGATTTTGGTTGGTGGAGTCACCCCTTGCTTGGTTTTGGTACTTGTAGTGTAATCCCACTCATTGGCCTTGCATGCTTAGTGTTTTGGCTTACTATGCTAGGTTGTTTTGGCTACACTCCATCATGTTACTAGCATTGTTTTGACCTACCTTACGACTGTTTTGAGTCATCTTGGTCCTTTAGGGCTTGCTTGATATGGCTATGGTGCAAGTGCCTTAACTAGTCTTGAGTTTTGAGCACTATAGCATGCTATGCATGTGATGTTTGTATGGTATGACACCATTTAGCATGTAATTTCAGTGTATATAGTGTAGTCACATTCTCACATTTGTCACTTCTTCATTATGTTTGAGAGTTGTGCTTTTATGCCTTGTTCATGGGCCAATGCATGAGCATGCATTTCTTGCTTTTCATGTTATTATCTCAGCATATTTCAGCCACTGTTTTGGCACATTTAACCTCCGTCTGGGGTTGGTTTGGTCATTTAGGCTTAGTATTGTATGCTTATAGTGTTATGCTCTTTGCTAGCTTCAATGCTTTTGACTCCGAGTATGTCTTGCATGCATCGTCTTCGTGTTTAGATGTCATTTAGCATCCTATTTCAGTGCTGGAATATGCACCATTGCATCCCATTCTTTGTTTGTTATATCACATTGAAAGTGGTCTTAAGCTGCTTGTTGGCTTGAGAACGGAATTGAGGCGTTCGTGTCTAATGGTTTTAACCTTCTCTTGAGGGTTTTCACTAACCAACGACATGAAGTTTCTTCCATGCTCAAGGTGCTTGTGGTTTAGACCCTCTTTCCAATTAGAGGACTCTCACTTTTGGACTTAACCGATTAATAGACTAATTGGTAATCTAAAATGTGTAAACAAAATGAATCAAGTAAAACATGGCCAAGATAACATGTTTGTGATGTATTGCGTGTGTTTGGATCAAACTTTAATCCAAACACGAGAAATGTGGGACGTTTCATACTCATAGTTATGCAACGTGTCACATTTCTCGGTCGTCGACGCCCTTAATTATGCATGATAGGGTGGAGGCCTTTCGAGTCTTATGTGTGCATTCATTGAGTCTTGCGCAAGCTCGATCCTTTGGCCACCATGCATTGAAGATGCTCGGTTGGCGGCTTGAAAGTCAAGTGCCATACTCTTTTAAGCTTGAGATATGATAAGAAGTGTAGAAGTGCATACATTTCCTTGCAAATATACTATCTTGCCTCTGCTTGTGCTCTGTTGCAGCAACATGAGGAATTTCAGCCCTCAAGGTGTTCTTGAGATAAAAAAGAAGCAATATGGAAATCGGTGTAATTTTCCAAGGTTCAAAAGAGTGTAAACAGAGGCGTCTTAAGGCAAGGCGGTGGATTTCTAGGAGGACGTAACCGAGCATGCATATGTCCCTTGCCCGCGAGGCCATTTATCATTTTTTTTAGCTAGCTGTAGTTAATTACCTACGCTGTAATTAATTTAGTTTAGTGCTTTGTAATACTCTAATTAACTTAGATCAGCTAGTTATTCAATTTGATTTGTAATAATTAATTAGCTAGAATAGTTAGTTAATTAGTTGGTTTGTAAAAGTTAGCTTAATCAGCGTAGCTAGTTGGCTTTTATTTCATTCGGACCCTCCGTCGAGAGGGAAAATGTTGTAATAAGTGTGCGTGTGTGTGTGAATGTCTTCCAATCCTACGTCTTTCTCCCTTTTATTTACCAGCTTTTGATGGTTAGTTTTAGGGTATGTTTCCATTAGCATACTTATGCTTTGCATGTGCGCATCATTCATTCGTATTGCATGCACCGGGTTCGGCGCATCATTCAAACTGCATTGTATTTTAATGCTTATTTGAATACATGTATCAATTTGTTGCATTCATATGCCATTTTAGAATAGTCGAGTCTATTTAGTTGCATTTTTACATGCTTTGCATTAGGCACTTAACATAATTAGGATCATGCATATTTCTAACTAGTTTCCTGTTTTGGCTCGAAGTACACTGTGAGTGTTTACGCTTTAGCATCCTTGCATGAGTGTGAGTGTTACCATGATAGCATGCTTTCCATAAGGCTATTTGCTTAAGTGTTTAACGGCATGAATGCTTGTGGATGAAGGCTTCATTACTTGAATTGGAATAATTCATCAAAATGTAAGTTTTAAGCTCACTTGAGGTGGCAAATCATCATGTTTTAAGCCCACCTTGTTTGGTGGCAAATCCACATTTTAGCCTATTTGCGAGTAGCATTTTCAAACCATTTTAAAAAACAAACATGAGATGTTTTGTTTCAAATCGAGCGATTTAGTCTATACTTGTGTGCTGTGCGCATCACATAGTAAGTTAGCTAATAATTGGAAAAAGAACACATGTGTTTTCAAAAATAACATATCATGCTTAGTAGAGGCCGATCCTTTGATCGGGCGAGCGGGGGTGCTCATTTCCGGACCTTCCCCTCTCGTATCCAAGTTCCCGAGTCGAGGCAACTTTGGTGATGACGGACACGTGGCCTTAGGCACAAGTCAAGGTTTCTTAAATTTCTCAAAACAAAATATTTAGGTGGCGACTCTAAAATCTGGCAAAGCAGTCCATGTTTGGCGCTTTTTGATTCAAAATTGATTTTTCAAAACCAATTATCGGATTTGGACTCTTTGGTGATTTATCAGTCTTACATTGCACTTTGTGAGATTAGATTCAAAACCATGACAGGAGTCCGAATTGTAATAGCTAGAACCCAATTCGCGCCCTCGCGCGCGGAGGAAGTTCGGGTGGTCTACACGATGTTTTTGATTGAAACATAACAAATAATTTAGACTTATTATATGACAGAGTTGAATTATACTTGCATATAATAAAGTTGAGCTAAGTTGGCGATATTTTCGATTGAAACACGACGAATAACTTAGACTTATTATATGGCAAAGTTGAATTATACTTGAATATAATAGAGTTGAACTAAGTTGGTGATATTTCAGATTGAAACATGACGAATAACTTAGACTTGTTATATGGCAGCGTTGAATTATACTTGCATATAATAGAGTTGAACTAAGTTGGCGATGTTTCTGATTGAAACATGACGAATAACTTAGACTTATTACATGACAGAGTTGAATTATACTTACATATAATAGAGTTGAACTAAGTTGAATTAACGTAGATTTGTTGAAAACTTTGAACGACACTAAGTACATATCAGTCAGATTGATAGAGAGACCGAGGTTGATAACCTCGACCAGTCTCTGTTCGAATTTGATCTCGGTGACAAAATCATAGGTGTATGCTTAATAAGAACCCAAGTGGAACTTAAGTTCACATTAGGGGATAGAGAGCTGGAGAATGATGCTTGGGAGTTGGAATTTACAAGCTAAAGTTGGTTTAACACTTGTTGAAATTTAAAAAAAAATTTACAAGTTGAAATTAAGCCGAGATTATGTTGAAAGAAAGTTGGTTTAACACTTGTTAAAATTTTAAGAAAAATTTACAAGTTGAAGTTAAAGCTAAGGATATGTTGACAGAAGTATCCATGTATTTGCCGAGATTACCATGTTCCCAAGACTTGGAAGATAATGGAAGACAGAAGTCTTGATAAATAAAAGTAAAGCAGCAAGTTTTAAATAACACTTGTGAAAATATTTTTTACAAATGTTTTCAAGTGTTAAGCCAAGGCCAGGATGAACAAGATTGGAAGTTATGTCTGAGGAATTTTAATCCGAGAAGACTATACGGCTAAAGGCATAAACTGAAGACATGCAAAATATTCTAAGTATGGAAGCAGTAGAGCTTACAAGCAAACACTTGAAAGAAGAAGTTGTACTTGCATTAAAAGAAGAAAAAGGGCACTTCGGCCTACAAAAAGACTACTTGTTCTGATTACAAAAGTGACACATCGACCAAATATGAAAATTGAAAACACTGTTCAGAAAATTACTAAGTACAAAGAAAGAGTTAATGGTAGGACTATTCGGCGTCATTAGCTGGATGGGTTTGGTCCTCAAAAGACATTTGGGAACTCTTTTCGACAACCTTCTCAGTCGTGAGCTCGGCATCGATCTCTTCAATAGTACGGTCGAGGCTCTTCTTGGCGATAGGCGCCTCGGATGTTGTCTTCCCGCATGAGGCATTTTTTGAAAACTCGTCCCCCTTATCTTGAGTCAAGTCTAAAACTTGCTCATTCAGAGTTGGGGACTTGGCCCAATAACTTCAGCCTTCTCAGACTAGTCGGCCTCGACATCTTCCTCGGACTCAGCCTCGTCCTCAGATTGGCTTGGAGTGGGGGGGAATGGCAGGATGAGGAGGTTGTGATCTCGGAGAGTTGAATCCTCGGGGACAGCCAACTCCTTCAAGGCAGCCATCTAGCCAAGGGTGTAACCCTTGTTGCATGCCTTTTTCATTTGTTTTTTGTAGTCCTCACGGATGTCGGTTGCCCCCTCAGCGTATGCTTTCTCGTCCGTCGCTTTAATCTCGGCGGCTTTGGCGGCCAAAGCATCTTAGAGCTCGGCTTGGGCTTCGATCATTTTGGCCTCGGCGTTTTTCTTCTCAGCCTTAAGGACCTCAACGACAACCTCAGCAGCCCCCGCCCTTTCATCGGCCTCGTCTTGGGCCTGTTTGACTGCCTTAGCCTGATCTATCAATGTCTTCATCTTGGCCTCGGCTTTATTAATGGTCCTGAGCAAACCAGCAGCCTCCTTGGTCTTGCGGGTCAACTTTTTCTTAATGTCGAAAGCCTGCATTGCGAAGGAGTGGGCATGTTGGATCGCCTACAAGTAATGGAAAAAACAAAAGTTAAATAAAACTCTCTAAGTATGGAAAAAATAGAGAATGGAGAGTACCAAGTGTTAGGGGCTTACTTGTATGGAATGCTGCAACATTAGAGCGAAATTTTCGTATTCGCTGGCCTCGGCGTTGCGTTCGAGGTCTTTGGGAAGGTAGAGAGGGCAACGCCGACTTCAATGTCAGTCGCGTTGTCACCGACTCTGACTGGCTTGTCCTCGATGGTAATTGGAGGGGCCTAGGGGGCATCGGATTTCAAGGACCTCGAAGTTGTAGTAGACTTTGACCTCGGCTTCTTTGACCGGGTGGATTTGGAGGGAGCAGCTTTTGCGAGCCTCTTTTCAGCGCAGAGGCATTTTTTTCTACCTCAGCCATTTTTGAGATTGGCAAGGTGTCCTCAGAGTCGATCTGAGTCACCGTTGCCTTGGCTTGGGCTTTCTTCAGCCTCTTTGGCTTTGGTTTGGGTTGAGATTGGGAAGGGGAAGATTGAACTGTGACGACATTGGGGATGTCAACAAGAAGGTCTTTAACAACGGCCTTTTGTCGCTTCATTTCGTCGGCGGAGATGGCAATAGTAACTTTAGTGCCAAGGCGGATCACTGGAAGTGCGGTTGATGGGTTGGCTAGATCGTAAGCCGATGCCTCAGAACTTCGGCGTCTTCGACTACGAGTCCTGCCTGCTGGTGCGAACAGTGGAGCCCGACGTCGGCGTTGGCATTGGGAAGGTGGAATCAGTTGTGGAGCAGAGGTTGATGGCTGTTCTGCTGGATCAGAGGTTGATCCTTGATCTAGCCGAGGTGATGAAGTTGTAGCAGGAGTTGTAGCAAAATGAGGGGACTTGCTCTTCTTCGGGACGTCAGGGAAAATGGACTTTTAGGTTGGGATATAATTGAGCAGCAGAGGGGCTTTTCACTAGTCAACTAGCAAACCCAACAACTTCTTGAAGTCTTTGCTTGGGAAGAATATTTTGCGGAAGTCCTTGGATGGTTGAGGAAGAACTGCAAAATAAAACAAACAGACGTTAGAGCATACAAAAAATATCAAAGTAAAAAAGACTTGAAAGCAAGTATTGGCTCTTACCATCTCCCTCTTTGAACAGTGTACGGCTTAAAGGGTAGAGGTGAAGATCATCATCTGGAGGGAACTCCTAGTTGCCCGAGATGATGAAGTAATCGTCTCTGGCACCCTTGTTGGAATTAGGGAGGTCGGCGATGAGTTTGTATTCCGTCGACCTCGGCTTAAGGTAATAAATGTAGCATTTTTATGACTTACGACCACACATGGTGTAGCAGTACTAGATGTCGGCTAGAGTTACCCTAGCATTTTCTCGGCTAGCTAAGGCAATGATATCGTTGATGCCTCTGTAAAAATTAATGGCTAATTGCATTGGGTTGAGTTTATAATAGTGAAGGACTTCTCGAAAGAGGATGTCAAGAGGGAACGTAAGTCCACACTCTATGAAGGCTACTACTAGGAAGGGCATGGAGTCGTCTTTGGACATGATGGAGTCTTCCTCCCCAACCAACCTGAGATGAACGTCGATAGAGATAGTAAACTCATGCCTAAAGTATTCTAGCTTAATTGGGGTGTCTACCCTCCACCTGAACATACCCATAACGTTGGCTAAATGGGGAAGGTGTTAGATTTTAGAAAGAAGTGGTTTGTTAAGATTTAAGTGACCTCGGCTTAAACTCAGAACAGAAGCAAAGGCAGAGGCTTTTTAAGATCTAGGGAAATTTATTCCAATTTTCCTAGGGAAAGTGGCTTTTATCAAAACCCAAGCCTAAAAATCTATGTGGAAGTAGGAAATTGGAGGCAAGAATCTGGCAAAATGCAACAAGAAAACAAAAACAAGAACATGATTCAAACTCAAGAAGATGAAACAAGAATTCAAGAACATTTTACAAAACATGTACAGATATACAAAGCCAAGGACAGTGGCAGAATAATAAATATGTATTTGGTTCAGCACCCAGAAAGCAAAATCAAGAACGGTGACAAGCTAACAACAACGTCAAGTGTATGAACAACATGTGCGCGTGTGTGTGTATACCAGCAACAGATTGTAGAAAAGCAGAATCATGAAACAGATGACGAATGGTGGAATTCAACAAACAAGTAACTATTTAAGAGTATGAACAGATTTGCAATGGCAGTATACAAGCATAACAGTTTGAAGTGAAATAAGAAATTGAAACGAATGGAAGCAATGGCTTACCAGGAAGAGTGATGTCGGTGAAATGAATGCTGAAGTTGAACGACGGTGGAACAAGTAGTAGGACGGTGAATGCCTCGCCGAAGGAAGAAAATGGAAACAGTTGCAGAAAGCTTCAAGAGAATGAAAATGGAGGATTTGGGAGATGAGTGTTAGAGAGAGAAAGTTTGGAGAGGACGAAGATGCAAAAGTGAAACGGCGAAGAGAGAGGGAAGTGTTTTTGATCAAAACACGAAAATGCAGCAAAAACGCAATTAGTGTGCCTAGGACGATGTCTCTGTCAGGCGGTGCACGCAAATGCGACGCAACTTGATGACGTGTGTCAGGTACGATTCAATAGGGAAAGGACACGTGGCGAAAACGGTTGAATTACTGCGCGTGACAGCTCATACGCGTGTTGAAACTCTTGGAGTTCTTGACTTAATGACGCAAAGACCTCGGCTAGGGAAACGATCTCGGTTAAAGAACTTGGAAAAACTTGGTCCTTGGTTCTACAGCATTGATGAAAACAGACTACAAGTTTTGGTCATATGGAGCCAATGAATAATGACATCGGTAACGAATGATTGAGCAAACTTAGCCGACGTGCTATAGGTTCAAATGATATAGGTTCCATCACCTTAGGATGTCGAGGTAATAGAACCTAGGGGATAGTTGTGGGGACATATTTTTTGGATAACAATACGTGGCCAAGGTGGCACCGAAGTGCCAGCCAAGGTGCAACGTGTCCTAGTCATGACGCCGAGATGATCTCGGCTAAGCCGAGATTATCTACGGAGATGCCGAAATTCGGGATAAACGGATAAGCTATAAGAGTCTTAGAATGGGTGAGGACTTCAGCCTGGATAAGGATAAAGCTCTTAGGGAGTTTATCTTTATCTATTGGAGAGTCGAGGATGAGCATTGGGCTAGAGTCTAGAGTCTAAGAGAAGCTAGGCTTTTATAGGGATCAGGTTAGTATTGACTATAAAAGTAAGGCACCATCATGGGTCTAAAGTACGCTTTTTGTATTCTGGCTAGTGAGTTGAGCACTAATTATTATCTTTGGGAGATAACTGAGTATTGACTTGATTGTCGGAGTACCCCCGGGAAGACGAACCATTGCCGGAGTCTTATCTTTCTGTGACAGGTCGTTCGGGCGCAATCTATTTTGCCAGTGCTCTCCAGGTGAGTACCTGTTTGGCAGTGTGGTCAGAAAACAACGCACACAAAAATATTAAAAAAATTTAGTGAAAATAAAAAAATATGAAAAATTTTAAAAATTCAATTTTCAAAAAATTTAACCAAGTGTTTGGCAAAGGCTTTTTTTGGCGTTTTAGGCTAAAATTCACAAAATGACAAAATAGGTTAAAATAACCAATAAAACAAAATATCACATTAAACCTATGATCATTTCGTTTTTTTTCTCATAAATATCACATTCAACTATAAAAAAATCTATCTTCCTAAACACAAAAATTTTAACCTACTAAAATAATCAAAAACTAAAATAATCTACTAAAATAGCAACTTTTCAAACAACCACAAGAATTTTGGTACATCCCATCACAATACACATATTCAAATAATTAGTATAAGGAGTTTTCTTAAGTGTGCAAGTGCACACCATGTGCCACTTATACAAAAAGTGTAAGTGTAAGGTGTAAGTATAAGTATAAGGTGTAAGTGTAAGGTGTAAGTGTAAGATGTAAGGTGTAAGTGGGTTGCACATGGTGTGCAACCTCAAAAAAGGTGTAAGTGTAAGGTTTAATTTTTTACAAAAGGTGTAAGTGTAAGGTGTAAGTGTAAGGTATAAAGTGTAAGGTGTAAGTTGCACACCATAACCAAACCCATAAGGAGTTTTTTCTATCTAAATTTTTTTTTTTAGTAGTATAATACAATAGAGCTACGTAATGTCATACATACACACCCATCAGAGCAGAGTACATAGTCCGTACCTACATTCGGGGGGGTCTTTATTATCATGGCTGGCCTCTACTCTGCCACTGGAAGATGGTGTTGTTGCTTTGCTTTGCTGCAAAAGAAAAGAAAGAAAATATAATAATATAGCCGTTGGGAGATAAGGATCAGACAGACCCATCAGTGCTCTGTGACTGCGTTGTGAGTCTGAGACTTTTTGTATTGAAAATTGTGTTTTTGTGTTGTGACTTTTGAAAATTGTGTGTTTCTGGGCTACAACATGTCCTTTGTGGTTTACCTGGTGTTTGGGCAAGTGAAAAAGCTTGCTGAAAGTTTTAAAGAGCATATCTTCAATGAAATAGTTAAAATTATGTGTTAAAACATGTATGCTCAAATGTTTGTTTATTTAAGGAGGGAGTAATGGCTTGTCAACAAGCGATACAGTGGGCAAAGGAACAAAATTTGCGCAAAGCACGTGTATGGACAGAGACTCACAATTTTTGGTAGATGTACTATGTAATCAAATCACTCCTTTTTGATCTTCCTGTACTACAGGATATAAAAAGTTGGCTAGCAAGTATTTTGATTAGAAAAATGTTTGAGAGTCACAATTTTTATGATCACAATAGCTCAAAATTGTTAAAACGACGTCGTTTTAACATGTTTTACACTCAATACGACAATGGCTCAAAATTGCTAAAACGACGTCATTTTGATAGTTTTGAACCATTATGACCACAAAAATTGTGATTCTCTAACATTGTTGTTTTGATTATTTGTGTATATGTAAAATTAAATGTTAAGATGTGAAGCCTGCACATGATTTAGCCCGTTCTGTAAATAACTTCCTACTTAATCTAATACTATGTTCGTGTGTTTTAAGCCCATTAAAGATGGAGAGGCCATGAAGCTCGAGCCTGGGATGTAGGTTGGGAAATGGCATGCCTTGACCATGAGTAAATATTGCATACAACAGCAAGAGCATCTCATACTCTTCCATGTGAGGTCATCAATCGCATTGCTCCCACTAATCCAATCATAGTGGACTATTGGCAATAAATTTCTCATTAGCAATATACCAACACATGATATACCCAATATTTTCCTAGGCATGGCTAACTAATTGATACCAACCAAAATGTATGAGATCAGGAATTAGTTATATACCCAATATTTCCACACACGATGATGATGATAATAATAATAATAATAATAATAATAATAATAATAAGGAATTAAATGAGAAGAATATATAATAATGATAATCAGGAAAGGAAAAATAAAGAAAGTCAGAGCACTAATCCCCAGCTCCCATAGAATAATTAAAAAATCCATGATCAAAAGACACAGAAGCATCTTATATAATTATACAAAAGAAAGAAAAAAACAACAAAAGAAAAGAAAGAAGAATAAGAAGGAAAAAAAAAAACGGAAAAAAAAGAAGTCACAGCACTAATTAAAAATCCATGATCAAAAGACACAGAGCATCTTATATAATTATACAATTTCAAGATAAGGATCCAAGGTCATCAGCAGTAGTTGGAAGCTTGGAGAATACTCAATTCGAATCATCTGACCATCAATTCTTTCAAATTTTCATTTAAATTCAACGGTCAATAGGATACATTGCATATTATGTTAATTGCGGAGAACCTGGTCACCATTTTCATCATGCACCACTTGCATATAAACGGGTCCATTCCTTTGCTGCATAGTTCAGAGAACATAATCCAGTAAAGACCATATAATTTATTGAAGAAAATTACTACGTAAAAAATCATTTTTAGGAACCATAATGATTTGGTCAACATGGTCAAAACAGAAATATGAACAGAATGTTGTTTTTCTTTTCCTTTTTATTATATTCTTTGGATTACTACAAAGACAAAGTTGCCAGGATACCTGTTTCAACGGCTTCAGCTTCATTGCTTTTCCAATGCTTTGCAATGTTCTCAGATAGAGGATCATCTGGATTTGGAGCACTCAAAAGTGCTTGAATGCTAAAAGCGAAATAATCAGACATTACCAACATCATGAGTTTATATTTTATCAGCAAACCATAAAACGATACTGACAATTATTCGAACTCAAATCAAAACGACTAAACATAAATAATTCTGCTCATTTTTCCAATCAGTTCGCAACCACACAATTCTTATCATCATCAAGTAAAATGTATTGGATCATGTCAGCAAAACATCTAGAACCATAGTTACCTCAAGAGTACAGTTCGAATCTGAAGAGCGGGACTCCATTTGTCTTTAAGAATATCAAGGCATATCCTTCCAAGCTGCATTCAAAGAAAGATCATTTCTGTAAGAGGCCAGAACAATTAAATCTGACAACTAATAAGGCAAGTGTAGGCACAAGTATGACAAACCTTATCAATGTTAGGATGGTAGATTTTGGTGAGAAATCGAACCTGTTACAAGGGGAAAAAAAAAGTCCAAAATGACTATGTCAATCAAACGTTGTGCAAATAGCAAAACCTTGTTGCATACAAGTGAACGAAGTTCCATCAATAACACAGGAAACACATGAGCGCCTGCCTGCAAGTCTATAATATGTGTGCAACGCAATAAAAATGTTGATAAAGAAGAATAGCAGTAGACCAAAAGGAGGAATCAAATGAATGCGTTTACAAAATAAACCTTATACAAGTTCTGGAGATGAGAGAGCGCAATTAAAATGTGCAACGAAGACCAATAACACCAGTAGTGCAGATACATTAAGTTGGAGGAGGTAGAAGTAACCACCAAAGCAGTAGCCCAAATGAGAAAATGGTATAGACACAAAGAAACCCAAAACAACCTTTCAAGATAAGTTGACTTAATGGAGCAGTCAAAGTACTTAGCATGCACTTATTGAAATCAACCCAAATCCAGCCAAAACCCTATAAGCACCAATTAATTGTGCATGTGAAAACCGCCATATAGAGTTGACAGTATATAATAAACCCAAATCTAGCACAAACTGTATACACTGAAAACAACAATATCAAATTGCAACACCAATGGACTGCATTTTAAAATCTTTCCAATCTATCAAATGAACATGATTTGTAATTTTTGGATAGCATCGACAAAAGCAGCATCTGTAAATAAAGTCGGGCAAATCAGCTGTTAATTGCTTTCAACAGAAATTTCATGTGCATCATCAATCCAACTCAATAATGTGACGCAAACAAATTGCAAAACTCGGTTAAGTTTGCACTATGATTGGTCAATATGAACTGGGAAACAAAAGTAAACCAAATGCATTACAAATTTCTAAATCACCAAACAAACAGACAGTCACAAGTACAAAACCAACAATATCCACACAGCACTTTTAGGCCCCGTTTGTTTTCAGAGGTAGAATTGATGGGATTCATAGTGAGGGGATTGTTAGTGAAGGGATTGATAGTGAAGAGATTAAGTAAAATTGTGTTTGTTTTGATGATAACTGTTAGTGTAGGAATTGTTAGATTGTTTTTATATAAAATAATAAAACAAATTAAAAAAATATAAAAAAATTAAACATTAATGTTTAAAAAAAATTCCCAATATGTAAAAAATAAAAAAAATAAAAAAATTTCTAATTCCCTCACTATTTTTCTAATACCACCTCCTCCTCCTCCATCCTAATTGCCCTTCCAACCTTCATCTTAATCCCCTCCTCCATCCTAATCCCTTCCCCAACTCTACAATCAAACACAACACTAAATAACTCCACTTCCATCCTAATCCCCTCCCATCTATTACACCCCAAAACAAACGGGGCCTCAATGCATTCTTTTGGCTAGGTAACATCCAGAGTAAGAACACAAAGGCCACATGCCTTTTTCCAAGAACATTCATAAAGATTCATATGATACCAATAAGAAAAAAACCATAGCCATCCAGCCATCATTCCAAGTTAGGAACATATTATACACCATTGACCATACTAGTCACAGAAGTTTAAAAGCAGCCCACCAAGCAATACAATTTATGTTGCCAGTGAGGGCCCAAAAATTCCAACCAGTTACCAAAAGTAATGACAGCTGTTACACTAGACTTAAGTCTATTACTGTGATTCATTCAGAAAGAAAAAAAAACATGTAACAAAAGTCAATAATCCATAAATACATCATAATCAAGTTGCCAGCATCTGTTAGCAATAATTCAGCCAAATCAGTGCACAACACCATAATGGGTTTAAAATATCACAAATCTAATGCGATATAACCACAATGGGTTTTAACAAGAAGACAAAGCTAATGCAACATAATTTACAAAATGACTGAAGACTTGCAGGGAAAATACTCCCAAAATAAGATTCAACAGGAGTGTCTCTGATGCACGCCTAGAAGTTTAAACTAGTAGGTTTTGACCCTTTTTTGTCAGAAATTCAATGGTCACATGATTTGCCTAAAAAACTTTCAATAGCTTTTTGTAGGCCTGCTGCAATACCTAAATTAAAAAATGAGACCTAGTGCAACATAAATGAGAAAAGCAACATTATGGCCTACTTTCTCCATATGCACTAGAAACTGCAGCGTAGAATCCAAATCTTCTTTCTTTTTGACTTTTCACTTGGCATCCTGAATGCTGCAGCAGATCTTGGTGTCATGCAAGAGAAACAAGTTGAACCCATGTATGAAAATATTCCTATCTTGTAACATCTACTTGTTTACCATCATCTTCATATGTTCATTCAACAGTCTTTGACCATCATCCTTTTACCAAGCGGTAAACTATAAGATGTTTGGCACCCTAATCACTTTTAAAAGTAGAACAAATACAAATTATCCTTTTCTTAAACACATCAGCATGAAGGCCAGGCATATTACCCAGTCATGGGTTAACAAATGATGGAGAGAAAGAAAACAAGGCTAAAATCAAATTCAATATGCATACGAGAGACACAAAATGCAGTAAAAACACAACAAATGAAATAAATGTATGCAACAAAACATAAACTCAGAAACTGACTTTACCAGAAGTCCAGCATTATGAATGATTTTTAATATAGCAACAAATTCTTCAAAACATTGGTCGACAAGGAGAAAAAAGTAGGGAAAAACATGGTTTCTTTGCGGGCCACCAGACCTATGTCCTCCCTTGGCCAACAGACAACATCTTAGCCTACAGATATGGTTTTTTTGAGAGACGCACGCGGGGGGGGGGGGGGTGTGGGGGTGGATGTGAGTTTACAGAAAACAACTACCTCAAAATTTCACAACAAAACAATTCTACAAAGGAAGTAAAATGATGATCCCCAAAGAAAGTAAAAAACACAGAATGGTTCATGATGATTGATTAATAATAAATTGTGCATCGAAGTAAAACAGCAAACAAACAATAATGCCCAATAACTAAGTTTTGTACATCCCCTCAAAATAAAGCAAGAGATTATTCACATTGTACAAACCTTTATGGCTAACAGCATTTAACTGCTGGACTTTTCAGTAAAAAAAATAATATACCTTGGGGGCAGCCATTGGGTATTCTTCAGGCAAAAACAATTCCAGCTTGAAAACCCCTCCTACACAGATGGTAAGACAAGAGAAGTAATTGCATCAAAGTAGGGATGAGCATATCATCAAAAAAAACAAAAACTTGAAACCACCTCCCCGTAAATTGACTAACTGTCAAGGAAAAATATTTTTAGTAATTCTCCCACCACTTCCTCAACAAAGACTAAGGACATCAAATCAATATTTTTAATCCATTGCCTCTTGGAAAAGAATTCGAGAAACAAGTTTAAGAACACATGCAGGCAACACTTCAACAAAAGAGCTGAAAGATTTTTGTTAACTTTTCCAATTTTCTAGAAAGTCTGAAGCATCTAAAGAACCAACCCGGTGAATTCATTCCAACCTGAGGCTTTTCTTTTGCCCATAAAATGTAGAAAATACTAAAAATCACAATTTTGAGCACAATAAAACAAAATCCACCACACAACTCAACCAAATGCAACTGCCAAAGGTTACTTGAGTCAAGTTTCGTCCCACGCAAAACAAAAAAGTTTAGGAATAAGTTCGCTTTTCCACAGTATTGTCAATGATCAAATGGAAGGTCAATGCTAGTGTGTGAAGCTTAAACATTAAGCACATCAATGTGATCCAAAAAAATGTGATCAAATTGTTGATTGTATCTTTAAATACATGCTTATGAAAGAAAATGCTGTTGAGTTCATTACCTTCATAAGGAGACTGTGTTGGACCAAGAATCATGACATTAAAGTACCGCATGTTATCTTCTGAAGGCGACGCACTTATTCCCGGCGCTAAACACACAGATAACAAGAACATACAAGATGAATTACACTTCAAATTCACAATTTATTTCCAATTACAAAAAAGAAATCATTTACTCAACAGTCCACAACGAAACAATTCTTAAATCTTCATAAATCTCTGCACAAATGACTAAAGAGAAAAAAAGAAAAAGAAAAAAGATTCTTGCTACTGAAACAGTAACATTTCAGATGCTAAAATTCAAACAAAAAGCACACAAGATAGGCGATATATAATTTATAAAAACGTATTTCGTATATATACAGACAGAGAGGGGGAGAGAGGAGGAGGAACTTTACCAGGTTCGCTCAGGAGACGTTGAGTTTCCTGAAAGATTACAAAAAAACAAACCGATCAAAACGAGCAAAAACATCCAAACCGAAGCAAATATGATAGAAATAAAGAAAAAGAAAAACGCGAGGCAAATACGAAGAAAAAGTGAGGTTGAATCCGAAATCGGAGAGGTTGAAGATGAAGAGAGAAATCGAGTGAATTAGCATAGAGATCGAGAGAAGACACGGAGATCGAGAGTCGAACCTTGATGATTCTTCGAGGTAGATTGCTGTTAGCCATTGAAGAAGAATGTTCGATTGCAGAGTACGCAAGGGTTTGAGAGAGAGAGAGAGAGAGAGAGAGAGACTTTCAGAAACTCAAAAAACGCGAAATCGGTGATTCTTCCATAAACAAACGCTGCTTTATGTCATTTCTCTAAGTGGGCCAGCACCGAATAATGGAGCACTGAGGCCGGCCCATATATATGAGTTTGGGTCCACTTTTGCCCTAATAGAATCCAAGTCCAAAATAATAATTCATTAGGGGTAAAAAAAATTATATACCAAAAAAAAAATGATAAACATTAATAATTAAAGTTATAAAAATTTTCACATTTTTATAAATTATTTTTCTGATCCTCACTGATCAGTAATTTCCCCAATTCATTATTTTATACTGTCTTTGGATCTTGAATTATTTTATAAATAAAAAATTTATATATATGTATATTAAATTTCATTTAGAGCAATTAAAAAATATTGAATTGTGTTACAAAAGATCTTGATTTTGTGGGCTAAAAATCTTGGATTTATACTTCTTCTTTTTTTTTCCTCACAAATTCAAAATTTAAGATTTGGATAAATCATATTTACCTTGTCTTGTAAATGTTCAACCTTTTTAGAATTTTTTGATTTTTTTTATAAAAAAAAACCGAAGTAGTGTGAGTTCCGTTTTATCTCACAGCAGCATCTGCTGTGCGGCGGAAATGGGCCCATTTCAGGGCCTATTTTGATAATCCGAACCGTTCACATTTTAGAATACATCAAGTAGAACATGTCTGTAAACAATCAAGTTAATCGGATATCGTTTACCCATTCATCCACTCACATTTCTATCTACAAAAATAAATAATAATTGTGATTTAAAGTATTAAAATGAATACAAATGTGTGTGGATGAATAGGTAAATGATATTCAATTAACTTGATTTTTTACAGACATATTCTACTTGATATATTCTAAAATGTGAACGGTTCGAATTATTAAAATAAACCTCGAAATAGGCACATTTTCGCCGCACAGCAGATGCTGCTGCGCAGCCCGCGCAGCAGCATCCCAAATCCAAAAAAGTGGCATTTTTTGAATTTGAAATTGAATCATTATCCATTTTTAATTTTTAAGAACCTGGCATGGTCTTATTGAATTGCAGTCCTACCAAATAAAACTAATAGAAAAATGCTCATGAGACACTTGGTCAAATTGTTAGCTAAATAATAAAAATAATAAATATGAAAATAGTAGGTTCATGTGATTCACGACCACATCCAATGTGTACTTCTCGAGTAATGAATATTTACATTTTTTACTTTTAATTTTTTTATTCTACAATTTTTATACTTTTGATCTTTAAAAATATATGCTTATATTATTTTAGTTTTTAATATTTTTCTATTAAGTCAATTTAAAAGTGACTATAAAAATGGCCCTCCCTTAATAAATCTCGTCATTTCTATTAATTTTTTGCAAAAGGTGTATTTTTTTTTCTTCAAAAAATATTTTCTGATTTTGCCCATGAATAGTGATGGTGCAAACGATGGAGACTACGTTAACACATATTTAATAATTGAAAAATAAAATTGACACAATAAAAATATTAAACACCAAGATAAAATAAAAGATAAATACTACCCTCACTTGAACCTTAGCTTTCCAGGTTCAACGTAATTAATTTATTAAAAATTCAAAAAATATGGGTAGCGTAAGGTTTTGTTTAAAGATGACCACTTGTTTGGGAAAAAAAAAAAAGTAAAGGAAAGATTTATAATATAATAATTTAATTATCAATTCATAATTATTATTTTCCTTCTTCCACTAAAAAGTCTACAATTATAAACAAAAATGGAATGGGTTCATAATGATGTAATTCAATTGCTCTGTTTTTTTTTTTTTTTTTTTTTTTCATTGAACCCACAAGCAACTCCAATTCTTGACCTCTTTCCAAAGTCAATATGTGGTGTTATTTAAAAAAAAAAAAAAAAAAAAACCAAAAACAAGAGCACCACGTCACAAACCAAAATGCCAAATTAGTGCATGGGAAATCATATAAAAAAATACATATCGAGTGGTCAAAAATTATTTAAATGTAACACACTACATTCAAGATAAATTTTATCCACAAATTATATTCTTGTACCTTTTTTTAATCTTGTGTGGGTGATTTTCTGACCACACTGCCCGCCTAGTAATCAGCTGGAAAAGCACTGGCAGAATAGATGACTTCAGCTAACCTGTAACAGAAAGAAAAGGCTCCGGCGGTGGCTCTTCCACCCGGAGACACTCCGACGATCAAGTTAGTATATCTCTCAAAGATAATCAAGTGCTAAACTCACAAGCTTAAACATAAAAAGCATACCTTAGACCCATGGGGGTGCCTTTCTTTTATAGCCAACTTAATCCTAATCCCACTAGAAGCCTGACTTCTATGGACTCCTATTCAGTGCTTACTTTGGATTTCACAAGAGATAAAAATAAACTCCCTAAGAGCTTTATCCTTATCTTAGCAAAGTCTCTTCTTTATCCTAGGACTCTTGTCCCTTATCTTTTATCCTCTTATCTCAGATTCCGATATTTTCGGAGATAATCTCGGCCTTGCCGAGATCACCTTGGCGTCGCGACCAGAACACGTGGCACCTCAGCTGACACGTCGGTGTCACCTTGCCACGTGTTGGTATTTAGAAAATACATCCCCACAACTGCCCCCTAGGTTCTATTACCTTGGCATTCTGAGGTGATGGAACCTATATTTGTATTTTCTTTCAGTAAATCGGCTTAAAATTTAACAGCCGAGATCATTCATTTCAGGCCGACATGCTTTCCCTAAAAAATCAAGATTTTTAAGGACCTTCTTACGCGCATGAGCTGTCATGCACTTCAACCTAACCGTTTTAGCCACGCGTTTCCTTCTTACTGGTCCGTACACATGACGCGCCTGTTAGCCGCCTCTTTCTTCATGTGCGCTGTCTGACGCCCTCGTTCTTCTAGGCATATTGATTGCTTTTGCCGCCGTTTCTGTTTAATCAAAAACTTTTCCCCCTTTTTTCCACTTTTTCATTCGAATCTCCTGCTATCTCTCTCTAGCTTTCGAAACCCTTCATTGCTCAAGCTCCCAAAGCTCTGCAACCTTCTCCGTTCACCCATTCCGGTGAGATTTCCACCGGTCTTCTGCTCTGGCAACCGTCGTTGGATATCGGCAAATCCCTTTCCCGCTTCCTTTTTTTCTAGTAAGCTACTGTTCTTTTCGTTTTCAATTCCCTGATGTTTCTTCTTTTTTTGCTGTCGCCATTACTGTACTGTTTCAAGCTTTTTTAATTCATAAATCGTTCATTCGACTGCATTCATCCATGATTTTGTCTTTGCACACATCTTGAACACATGCACTGTTTCACCACTTCTTTGCACTTTTGCCACTGTTCTTAGCCATATACTCTTGTATTCTTCATATTCTTGATAGCCCATCTCAATTCTTGTTTCTGAAACTTCGTTTTTGTTTTCTATTTTTTGCATCTTTTCTAGATTCTTGCTTTCAATCCGTGTTTCCGTAGATTTAGGTCTGGGATTTGTCTATAGAACCCATAACTTAGGAAAAAATTGAAACTTGCACCTACCTTATTGTCTGCCGAGGTCCCAATAACCTTTCTAAAACATCCTCTGAGACCCACATTTTAAGATTAAGCTGATATCATGGGTATGTGGGAACATAGGGTAAACACCCCCTTCAAACTAGAATACTTTAGACAGGAGTTTGAGATCCCAGCCGACGTCCATTTGAGGTTGGCTGGGGATGATGACTCCATCATGCCCACTGCCGACTCCATGCCTTTCCCCGTAGTCGCCTTTATCGAGTGTGGACTTTGGCTTCCACTAAACATTCTGTTTCGTGAGGTTCTCCATTACTATAAGTTGAACCCTATGCAACTGGCCATCAATTCTTACCGAGTGATCAATGGTATTATAGCCCTAGCTAAACAGGAAAACGCTAGGATCACCCTTGCCGACATCCAATATTGCTATACCATGTGTGGCCTTAACTTGAAGAAAAAGACTACATTTATTACCTTAAGCCGAGGTCCACAGAATTCAAAATTGTAGCCGACCTTCCAGACTCCAACAAGGGAGCTGGTGACGATTATTTCATTACCTCGGGGAACTGGGAGTCCGCCCCAGATGAAGACCTCCATCTCTTCCCTCTCCCACGATCAATCTTTATACAGGGTAATGGTAAGAGCCCTACATTCATACTTGTTTTACTTTTAAAGTCTTGTATACTTTATCCGTTTCCTAATGTCTACTTTGTCTTTGCTTTTGCAGTTTTTCCTCAGCCGCCAAAAAACTTTGGCCAATCCTTTGTTCTCAACAAGGATTTAAAGAAATTATTAGACCTGCCAGTTCAGAAGCGAAAGGCACCCCTGCTTCTCAACTTCATCCCAACATACAAATCAGCTCTCCTCGACGTCCCCAGGAGAAACAAAAAGAAGAGCTTATCTCCTCCATCTGCTACAACTCTTCCAGCTGCATCAATATCGCGAACAGACCAAGGATCAACCTCTGATCCAGCAGAACAGCCGTCGACCTCAACTCCATACCTCATTCCACCATCCCAAAGAAAGCGTCGCCGACGTCTTGTTCTTACAGCCGAGATGGGTCGTGCAAAGCCAGTCGCTAAAGACCTCCTAGCCAACATTCCATCATCCATTGACGAACAACCAACACAAACCCAACCTCCAGCAAAACCAAAAAGAATAAAAAAGGCTCAACCAAAGGCCAAGATAGCTCAGGTTGAGTCTGAAGACACTCTGCCTATCTCAAAGTTGGCTGAGAGTGATAAATCTCAGCCTTCTGCTGGGAAGAGGCGTTCTGAGTCTCAACCATCAGAATCCCAACAACCAAAAAAGCCGAGGTCTTCTTCCGCCACAACTTCGGGATCAAAAAAGCCCGATGCCCCCGGGGTCCCCACAATTACTTTGGAAGACAAGCTTGTCATGGCAAGTGATAGTGCTGATGATATAAACGTCGGCGTCGCACTCAGTACCGCCTGCTTCTTCCAGGCGACCTGGAGCGAAATGCCCCGTATAGTGAATATGAGAACTATGCTTTAATGCTTCAACACTCTGTTCAGGTAAATGTCTTCTACTTGGTAAATTTTTCT